ACTACAATAAATAAATGCAATTTTCAATTTTGAATCATTGCACTATTTAATTCTGTTTTTTTCAAATTTATCAGCTATTGTTTATTTATTTATTTATATCACATTAGCTACTCGTGCAAAATTCTACTGCTTTTTAATTCGTGATATTATATATAATTATATATTATTAGCTTATTTTTATTTACGGGCTTACATATTCTTATGTAAGATTTAAAGTTTTCCTGTTAAAATGCAATTACATTAAAACGTAGCGTGCAATGTCGTTTAAAATAAGCAGACCTATCATGATTTAAGTGCATTTGAGGCTAACCACGATTAACATAATTTCATATAAATAATGAACGTGTACGATGTAATATTATGAAATCTGTTGCGTTTAAAAAAGAGCAGTTTATGGTACAATAACCTGAACTTTATTTATTCTTTACACTTCTACTTATTGTATCCGTTGCTCTAATATAAGTAGAATAGTTGGTAAATTGTACAATTGGTTGGTTGGTAAATTGTACAATTAAATTATTTACTAATACATTAGTTAATTTAATAGAGTGTAGTCTGGTAGAAAATAATCCTATTAAAAACAACTTTTGAATAAAAAAAATAAACGTATCGCCCTAAGCAATGAGTAATTACATCAAACATTATAAAAATTCAATTTCCATATAACATAGATAGAATTGTCTCTAGGATAATTTTAATCACTAATGGAAATAATGTAAAGTCATCTGTTTTAATGTTTCAATTGAAGTCATCTGAAATAGCTTTAGTATAGTAAGATCGATTTAATTTACCGTATACTCAGCAGTAATTGAGGATAAATACTCAACTTAATTAAATTCTATATCAATGTTAAAACAGTTGTTGTTTTTGGGTCAAATTTTATATTCACTATCACCTTCATAAATATTTTTGCGACATTTATTGATGTACTTTGAAATAAATAATTGTAACTTTTATGTTATATAAGCAAAAAACCAACAAATCCATAATAATCATTATTTAGATGTACTGGCAAAAATAAAAATCTATAGCACAAAATATTATCAATTAAATGACTTAATGAGATTTAAATTATAATTCTGAGTGAGTGTTCATTTAAGAATTTTTAGTTTAATCAAAAAGTTACTCAAAAAGCGGACTATAATCCTGGGTATGATTTGGTTACATTAATCAACGTAACTATTTCAAACTATTTAGCAATCCCCATAAATCTTAGACATTACCAAAGATTGATAGATAAATTTGGAACGATATGAGATATATGATAGTACAATTTTATATTTTATGTCAAAAATGATGAGCCTGCGGGACAGTTACCATGTCGATATTATACAGAACGGTTTACATGTCTAATCAAGACTAAAAATATTTCAATATTATGCAAGATCCTATTGAAAAACCATGTTACTAGTTACCCCTGTTAACAACGACATTAGCATTTTCACGGATCAAAATTATACAATTATGTCAAAAAGTGATGCTGAGCTAGTCGGCATTTTTCTATAGCAAATTTATTTTAAAATAAAAGACTTAGCAAATCATATGTAATAACTTATCCTTTTAAAAAGTTCAGTAATAAGTTGCCTACCCAACACGAGAAAATGAATCATTAACTTTTTAGAACTCAACATTAGTCAAATATTTATATATTCATCTATGCTTCGTTTTTATCTGTGGGACTTGTCAAATTTGAATGAATTGATTGAAAGCCTTTCAGTATCCGACAATGTCAAAGGAAAAAAAAAACATCCCTATGAGTATATATCTTTGGGTACACTAGAGCGAATAGCTTTTGGTGAATTGCTTAATCAAAAAGCTCAATAGAACTACTTTTAGCTTCTCCGGATCATTTGGCTTTTACAAAAGATAATTTGACTTTACTACTCTCGTTCATTTCCAATCGTAAGAGTTTTTTGCGAATTCTGCTGAATCGTTCAAACAGCAATCAGTGCTAACGAGAACGTCGCACCGGCGTGGCGGTGGCAGCGGCGGCGTTTTCCTCATTTTTTAAATTGGATTAGGGACTGAAATTTCGGTAATTTAATATACCGATAGTCTGTTTTATGAATTCGATTTGTTCCTCAGTTATATTCTGAATCTCATTGTACGTCGGTCGGGTTCAGAATGAATTACAGGCTCTTTGTAATATTTAATAGAAAGTAATTATTCAAGTGCGTGCTATTGATTGATGCTCTTGAAAAATTAATACGTTCTGACCGTCCCGTGCTCAAATAACGATACGAAAACCTGGAGAGGGCGAGCGACGTAAATAGACGTGATATATTATTGATGGTACATTTTCATTCTTATTTTTAGAAGAAAGTAAAAAATAACTTATAAATATATTTTTTGAAGAGTATTATTGCGTTCGTTTGTGTAATGTTTTGTCAACCAAATGTATTAATTATGAGAGAAATATAACCGCGTTTTTCTAGCATAAAAACATTTTCAAAAAATAATTGCTTGAGATTGTGCTCTGAATTATTAACACAAGATAATGTTCTTATTAATAAACTCGATTATAACAAAGTTATATATGAGAGCTGAACATGATTCGTGAAGAATATGTAGCATTATAAGGAATATATTATACATACACAAATATTCTTTGGTAGATCGATTTTCAGTAAAAATATATGAATTTGCAAAAATGTTGGTAAAATGTAAGGATTTTTAATTTTTAATACTTATGGAAATTAACCAAACGTGGTAAATGAGAAGTTTTGAACATATACAATCACACACACACACATATATATATATATATATATATATATATATACATATATATATATATATATATATATATATATATATATATATATATATATAGACAAATATTTATACTTCATTTATACAAATGCTGGTTATTTTGCTTAATTGCTTGAATGATCAGGATATGTAATATTTATAGAATATTACATTAACTTCGGGTTTCTGAGTAAAAGCAAATAAAATAATATTTCTATTTACATATTAAATTAAATGGATTCGTTTGGAAGAAGTAGACTCCGAAACTCCGTTGAAAACAAATAGGTTTCAATTTAATTATTAAAATGCTCACTGGAGTACGTCAATAGCGTGTTTGTGCCATATACAATACTGGTGCGGTTATTGTTTGAACTTTATAAAACTTAATTTAATTATGTTTATCGATTGCCTATTGTACAGTTCTATCCGCAGACAAACTTATATAATTCACGCATTTTTATTTCGAAACTTTTCTCTATTTCAAATTGGTTTTATATATTTATCTGATCCAAAGCATATAAATTCGTAACAATGTAGATGTAATGTATTAGCACAAACATGCCGAATGCATTTATATGAATAAGGTAAAATTTATATAATGTCATGGAGGGTGCACTTCCATAAGTAAATGCATTATGCGGACGTATGTGTATAGAATTATTATTTATCAATAATGATAAATATTATTCCAGAATATTGCCTCTAGATTGTATGCAATATTGAAATAATTTATTCTATTTTGTAGTGTAACTATAAGCACAAATATTAGTGAACAATTGCATGAACAAAATGTAAACAAACGTAATAAAATACTGTATATAAGCTTATAATAATGCTAGTTTCTATAAGCGCATAGTATTACGCCATAGAATTCATATAAGCGTATCATATAAGCCGTACAAACAAAACCATCATATATAAGCGTAGTACAAAAACATTGTTTATACGCGTTTTACAACATAATTATATAGAACGAATTGCATTGTATATAATACATAAGCGTACTACACAACATTGCAAATAAGCGTACTACATCTAGCATGAATATAAGCGTACTTCCATACTGTCACAACGCATGAATATAAGCTTTCCTTCAGTTCATAAAAGCTTCCATACAGTCACAACGATCGTTTGTAAGTTTGTAAAAATCCATATCAAAAGATAAATTTTAATTTTTTATAAATTTTGTTCTGAAACAACTTGTCGGTAACTCATGCATAAATTATTAATAAACTTACTGCAAGTACGTTTGAATATAGGGTTAAAATGGGTTAAACCATAATTATAGTCACCCTTCATATATTAAAGTTTTGTATTTGTTACTTGCAACTCTCACATTGAGAAGAGCATATTGTAGCACTTGCTTTTATACATTTTAATTTTTTCACATTTTATTGAATGTTAGTTACTTTTGTCACAGTTCTACATATACATAATGATTTTTGCGCAAAGATGATAACAGTAGTTCTCCTATTAAATATAAGTTTGATATATTATTTATTCGGAAAAACAATGTTTTTGATGGACCTAAATTCGGTGATTAGTTCCAAGGCAATTCCAATAATAGAATAGAGAGTTCATTACATGCTTGTGATATTATTTGCGAGTTTAATAATATTTTTGAAATTCTAAGTGGACTCAAATTTTGTCTTGATTGATTTAGAAAAAGCTACGATTCATATATTGTATTTATAATTTTTTTATAGCAAGTTTTTATTACATACGCATGTTATATTGTTCATTGGTTGAATTGGTGTATTTGTTAGACCTTTTGGAATCCACTTATCATTTTAATTCAATTTAATTTTTCACTTGTGGAGTGCCACGTCAGTTATCGGTGACTTACATCGACCTGTGACAAGTTAAATGTAAAAACTGAACGTTTTTACTAAACTTAATGAATTTACTAAAACACGCTAAATGCAAGTATAAGTGTCCCAGGCAAATTTTACAAAATAATATAATCTGTTTGGCAAAATATTGTGCTGTTATTTTATTTCATTATGTTTCATAAAAAATACGCGCAATTTACAATACTGTGGTGCCACTGAAACTCGGTCTGTACGGAAAGTCGCAAAAATCAACGTGGCACTCAACATGTTAATGCATTTTCTGGACCTGAATTTGGTCTTCATTGATCTACCAGATACACCAACCGCGATATCAGTCGAGACACGTGCTCGGCTAGTATAGACGTATTCTCTGAGAGCGCGCCTGTGATTAATTTGTTGTTTTTATTGATTTGACAGTGAGCTTCGCACGCCCTAAACCGGCATACAAAAAAGCATAATGGACCCCAGTCTGATAGCAACCATGGACAAGGACGCACTTAAAAAGCAAATCGAAAATATGAAGTATCAGGCGTCAATGGAGCGGTGGCCCTTAAGTAAAAGTATCGCAGCGTAAGTGATATTAATTTTTAATACTATTATATTTGTAATATAATATTTATTTAGTGCTTTTTTATCGATGTGCAAAATTCGACCGCAAAAAGTGTAGCCGTGCACGTTAGGGGCGCGGTGGATGTGATATCGGTCAAAGTGAGAGTGAGTGAGTTACAGTTTTATAAATTGGGTAAATATATTGAACGGAATATTCGTGTGGTAATAAGTGTTGCACAAAAGTTCGTTTTATAGAGATTTATAGGAGTTCGTTCATAAGCCTTTAAACTAGTAATCGGTAAAACTCGATCTCGTTTGTGGGTGGAGGGTGGTTCTATATCCTCCCAGCCACAAAGATGGTGTCACTAACATACACGTTTGCGTGTGTGCAGACGATACATTTCAATGTACATGCAAATGTTTGTGCTGGGAGGTTGATTGTATTGTTGATTCTTGATCGATATACAGTGATTGCATTATCGCAGTCTTTTTTGAAATTTTCTTCTACAACTGTGTAATTTATTTGCATTTTTTCTTTGATTATAGGTTTTGCGTAAACATTGCAAAACAATTATCATCAATCTAGTAGCATTTTCCTCTCTGGTTAACCAATTGATGTCTGTCTAATTTCACAATAGCCAGGAAGTCTTCATTTTCGTTATGCAAATATATCCGATTTCAGTGGTTAGAAAACGAGGTTGTTGTGCTTCTTGAAATAATGAGATTATTAGAGGAGTCCTTGGCACAATACAAATGTATAACTGTAGGTTTCGAAATAGTTTTGTGAGAATTGTATCTCAAACCTTTCAAATGCAGATCCACTTGATGACGTGCGTTCATCAGACAATAAGAATGGGAAGATAAATCAGTAGTTTTAGTGCAGGGTCAAGTTTAATATAGATATAAATGGTTTTAGTGTTTATGTGATTTGTATCTGATAAATTGTAGTTTAGCCAAATTTAATTTTAATAATCTTATAGAACTTGCTGAAATCAAACCGATCAATATGCTTTAAATTTAGATTTTATGACTGAAACGTTCTCAATTATAGTCAATACCATTTTACAGAATTTTGGGAGATTTACTATATATATATATATATATATATATATATATATATATATATATATATATCGTGAGTATATTGTATATATACGATTATGAGCATATATTTGTACAGAATTGTGTATATATGCATTATTGCATTAGTGTATGCATAGATGATTGAACAAGGTATGATTATTTGATTTGCATATTTATTTTAATAAAAATATAATCATTTTATTGAATGCTTGCTTTTCTTTTATTTATTCCACTCTTGTTTTTATGCCATCATATAATAATACGGTGCACTTGTGCAAATTCATATTTTTAACAAAACACGGGTATTTGACGATCGTTTGTATTTATATTGGTTTATGGTTTGAACTTTTTATACATAATTTAATGCTTAGGAAAATCTGTAATTCAATACCCGAGGTCTGCACAGTTATTTAAATTTATTTCTTTATTTAAATTAAAATTTATTTATGTTCAAATTTGTTTTCGTAGTGTATTACTATATTTTTCAATGCATTCGTAACGATGATGATTTCTTGTCATGCAAGAGCTGTTTGTGAATTATTCTTTTGCTGATACTATCAGAATTTATATTGATTTATAGCGTCTAATTATATACAGTTCATTCATATTTTCTATTCTCGTAGAAGTTATGCAGCAGATATATAATAATACTTTATAATTTATTCATGTTTTTATCGATAAAAAAGTTTTGTATAATTATAAGCGAGCTAGAGTTCTCAAATATTTCAATTTAGCCTGTGGGAGAGGAACTTTCATATTATTAGTATTCTATATTCCTTAATGTTTGTAGAGAAAAGCCATTTTATAGATACAGAAATTATAATTGATCATATATTCTTTTGAACTTATTTATCGTTTATAAACAGCCCCAGAGATGAATAACAAATATTTAACATGTTTCAGAATCTTTTCTATTGAATTTATTTATTTATTTATTTATTTCTATATTTAATTAAAGCCAATCGGTTTTATAACATATAACTAATAAATCTTTCAAAAACTACCAATTATTTATTTTACTTATCAATGAAGCATTTCATAATTATAATTCATAAATTTTAGTAAAAATAAAATTTTAATTCTCATATATGAGTATGTACGAGTCGTTCGTTTAGTTGCAAATTCAAAAGCTTGTTATGGATTTAGGAATATATGTACTTGGTAGAGAATTTTTTTAAAAACAGAGTGCAGAATCAAATATAAAAAGTAACGGTTTTTTAAATAACGAATGCAAGCTTTATATGATTTTGAAATGACCGAGTGGAATCATTTTTTATTTAAAAGCTTTTCCGTATATTCACGAAGTAGTTTTTTATACGCATATTTCTATGTAAAATCTGCGTATATCACATTATTAATGTTTTAATATATAACATGTGATTCGGGCTGTATAAATAGCGTGAATTATAATTACAATTCGCACGTATGTGTTTTGTAATGAGCGTTGTTGTTAAATGGACGTTAGTTAGCATGTAGCGTCTGTGTTTAAATAAAAAATGCAAATGAATACAACTTCTGCATCCGTGCGCCAACATTGCTTTTTATACGAAACAGGGTTGTAATAATTATATTAAATACTAATATGTGATAAAAAAAATATTGTATAAATTCCTAGATATATTTTATTATTTTTTAACCTATTTCAATCGCATCCATTTTCACTTGAAAATATACATGAAAAATATTTTTCCAATTGAAAACATACATTTCGGGTAAAATGGTGTGATCTGTATTTGGTAGCATATTAAAATCTGCCATGATAAATTTCAGATTCAAAAAGTAACTTAACTCAAGATTTTTAAGAGTTTGCTTAAGGACTTGCCTTTCTCGGATGAAGTATTTTTGTATATATTCTTCAATATTATAATTTAATTTTATAATAATTAAAATGCAAAAACTTTTGGTTATCCCATATGTTATAATATTTAAATTAAATTGATCTCTAGAGACATATATAGGTAAATAATAATAATGGGTAGCACATATATAGATATTGGAAATTGATTAATTTTTTTTTATTAAGTTTTCATAGACCTTTCTTAATTGTTAGAGTTGGTAACTATTGACTGTCGAATTTCCTTTCGAAAGTATTATTTAAAGTTTTAGAAAATTATTCGATATAGTGTATGGTTTGTGTATATAAAAAACGTATTATATATAGCAAAAACTAGTTTAACTTTAGGGAATAAAACGAGTTTGGACAGTCTTTCATCTTGCCTTTCATGCACATTTTTTTTCATAACACATTCAAAATTTGTAACTCAGAAGCATTTTATATTTTTTGTCCACAATCGGAATCTCCACGCACTTTTTATTATTATTTCAAGATCAACTTTACCAAAGGCTTAGGTGAATGAAGGAAGATTTTGAAATAATGTCCAAAAGATGATAAGAACGAACTATTTTCAGTGGTGTATTTCAACAGCCATGAATTTCATTTTTAATAAGAAAAATCATAATTTATAAATAAATAAATGAACTAGTAGAAGTTTTGGGCATTGTAAAAGTAAACGGTATTCAAACATATTTTTTGGGCATTGTAAAAGTAAACGGTATTCAAACATAGACATGAGAGCTTTAATTTCGCTTTTTTTATTTAGGTAATGCATATTTTTTATTGTAATATGTTTTATTTACTTTATTATATATATATATATATATATATATATATATATATATAATATATACCAAGTAACTTTTAATAAAAACTTCAAAAACGTTCGAATTCATTTTGTACCGTGTGCTTCGAGCACGAACATATGTCGGTTGCAGTGGACACTAATTAAAATTGAAGTAATATGTCTCTTCTCTACTTAACTGAAACACAGGACCGTTTTATAAAAGTTTGTATTAATACTAACTTGATAATTTTAAACATTTAAACATATCGTTTGTGGTATTGTTGTATGAACATTAATTAGTAGGGTAGAGAGAGGCTTAAAGGGCCGTGGGTAAAAAGCCCGACTATCATTATCTCAAAAACGAAAAGCATAGATTTTTCAGTGATTTTAAGGTAGAAGGCAAAAATGTGACCAGCCATTAATTTCCACGACGTCACTATCAGAAGATAAACGGAATATACAATATTAATACAAAAATTATTTTTTTTATTTTGAGCTCTAATATTTAGTTTGTATGACCTGAACATTATTTTCAGGAATACAATACCAAAAAAGACGACGTTGAACCCTTCTTTTCACGTCCAAAAAGGGCAGATGACAAATTTTAGTAAAGTGGTAAATAACATGTTTCTATAATTGGGAGTTAACAGGGAATTTTAATGAACATAGTTCGGTTGTTGTTTGTTTGATACATGTTATGTGTTGTCATGTAGCTCATTTAGTTTAGACTAGACTTTATATTTAGTGGAAATCAAATTGAACCCTTATGCCTAGTCCTACCCTGATATTAGAATCGAAATAGAATTTCTTTCTCTATATTCATATACGTTATACATATACGTTAGTTTTCTTGACAATGTACTTAAAAAAACGAATTCATTTATATATTAACATCTTAGAATCAATTTTTAAATGTTCATGGCAGAAAAACATGACTTTTACTATTGAAAATTATATTGATTGATGCGCTGCGTTTCAAATGGATAATAATAATTTCTAAAATTGTTGAAAGACCAAATGAGATTACGAAGTAAATAGACGAGAAAACAACCTAACTTTAATTCATATTAATATTCAATAAATTATGTTATCCGTTTCTAAGTTTGAATATGTTTGAATATGTATGTTTGAAGATGTATAAGGTCTATATCTAAGGTTTTAATTGAGCTCTATGACACTTTTCCTAGCACTCTAGTCACATATACACGGAAAATCATAACTTGTATTCATATTAATATTCAATAAATTATGTTATCCGTTTCTAAGTTTGAATATGTAAGTTTGTATATGTTTGAATATGTATGTATGTTTGAAGAT